GTGGGGGTTGGGGGGGGGGGGGGGGGGGTGGTGATAAAATTTTATATGTTCCCCCAACACATAATCTACTTAAAGTTGGTAAAATAAATAAATAAAAGGACCCCCATGACCGTAAACTAACAGGTACGCCAAGGCAACGTTATGCACGCCCCTGAAGTGTGTTCTAATTCTAATTTAATAGTCGACCCCCCCTCCCTTTATTCCTTATCCCCGCAGAGTGTGCACCAAACAAATGTGCACCGAAAACTTCCTTAACGGATGTTTGAAAGCGCACCGTTCATGCGTGACGTTCACCAGAGACTGTCGCTCCGGGATTGGTCGCGTCAACAACCACTCATGAAAGTGCCAATAATAGGAGGGACTCTTCACCAGGAGCGGGTCAAGGGTCGTATAGGTCGTATGCGTTATTGCCGAACGTTATTGCGTTATTTTTTTGGGGCATGTCGAGTTCCGTTCTTCTCTCGATTCTAAACGCCAGGGTTTATTTAAATCATCTAATTTTTTTTATTGATGTTGTTGTAATATTACTTTTGAAAGTGAAACTACAGGATATAAAATAATGAAAAATGAAAACAAAGCAAAACTGCTTGAGAGCTTACAAAAATGTCTTATGATTTGGAGATATTTCTATACATATATATCTTGCAATGATTAGACATGCCGTCAATTATTTGTAGCATTTGCAAGTTTTATTTAATGTCAGGTCCACATTTCATCGGCATAACTGCGTCTAATGTTTCCAGATCCAGTTGATCTCGATCGACGTTTTTATAAATTTCAGTTTCGAAGGAGTTCTTCCGCGTTGAACTTGTGATATTGGAAGTGGCGGTAAATTTTTTTGACTAATACGTTATACTGAATATGAAACTGAATATAAATTATACTTTTTTTTCACCAATAAAACATAACATCATAAGTCGCAATTCTTAAAAAGTACTGATGTCTTCTGTAGTCACGTTCGGCCAGCTCCATTGCTGAGGCAATTTATTGCTTATTTATTGCTTCTAGATTTCTGGGGGGGGGGTGCGTCCACGTAGGCAACAAGACATTCTTTTCGGGACGGAAAATATCAAGTAGATTCGTTCCACTCTCACATCGATGGTCGCTACCATGGTTTCATGACGCCATTGGTTGCT